GAAAGAAAGAAAGAAAGAAAGAAAGAAAGAAAGAAAGAAAGAAAGAAGAAGGCAGCAGGCTTCATACTACAATAAAAAATTTCCACCTGGAAGCAATTTTTCCTAAAAGCCCTTAGGGACTGCTGTTACCCTCCCCCTTAGATTGGTAGCAAGGACTAGAAACACCAGCTCCCCTTAGAACCAGGCTTTGTTGCTCCCAGCTTCCAGAAGGGCTAGAGGAAAGCTAGGGAAATGACAAATTATTCCCAGACACTCCTCTATAAGGAATTCCCTTGAGCCTTCTTTCTTCTTTTCCTCTGGTTCTTTCTGCACTAACATTTTAGCTGAAGTACAGATTACTTACAATAATAGGACTTTAATTTACTTTTAGTGAAATTGTGTACTATCAACTCTAGTGCTTGTCCTTGTGGAAAGTTGACACATCTTTGGGTTCTGCCATAGGCCTTTTGTCACTTTATAAAGCCTTCTCTGTGGAATGTAGGCAGTGTTTCAGGTGTGAACTCTCAAGAAACTAATGGTCTTTTGAGAGAGAAAGATGTAAAGAAATCATTTGTATGTCGTGTTCAGTGTACCATCCTTTCAAAGATGTAAACAAATAAACAAATTTCAAGCAAAAGAATATTAACCCTTCACCAGTGAATGTCCTCAATGGTGCCCATTCATTCTGAAGTCTGTTTTCCTGTGTAACTGGAGGATAGAATGAAGTGTTTGGGTAAGTGGTGGAATAGTACTTTTGGTGGAATTTATCCCCAACTGCACATGGTTTTCTAAGGTCAAGGTCAGTTTAGATTTTTATTGTCAATATGAGGGTTAATTAAGTAGTAAATGGTGATACCATGGCTGTGAAGGAATAACTCACCCTATACCACTCCAAGTAAAACCAAAAGTTTAAACAGATTTTGAAGTAGATTGCTTCAAAAAAAACAGACTTATTGCATGTTCTCACATAGTAATTTTTTTTAATTACATTTACTTGCATGTGTCTATATGTGTGTAGCATGTTTGGGGGCAGAGGACGATTTGCTAGATTTGATTCCTTCCTTGTATTATATGGGTCCCGGAAGTGTAATTCAGCGTGTAGGGCTTAGTAGCAAACCTTATACCTGCTGAGCCATCTTGCTGGTCTATCTATTTGCCCTTGGCAGCGATTTTGTAATTTTCTCAGTTTTGGCATTAGATAATGTTTTCTCTTGGTTTTGAGTTAAAAGTTTACCATTTTAAAAACTATATCAGATTTATTTTTAATTTATGCATACCAGTTTTTAAGTCTGGGTAAATAGGATTCATAGTTTGTGTTTCTTTTGATTCTTTCAAAGCTTTTTTTTTTTTTCCTGTCCATGTTCTAAGATTTATTTATTTATTTTAAACTTAATTCCATTTTAAAAAACTTTTACTTCTCAGAAGTCTTAGAAATGTGTGTTAAAGTATATTTCTATAGAGAATATTTAAGTTCAATCAGTTATCTGTGGACATTGGGGAGGAGATTGCTTCTAAAATAAATAACAGTTATTATTCATGAGATGATATTTTACCGTGTTTCCTGGGCTGAGCTTGACTTTGAGATCAAGTGATGGACCCATCTGCTTCTGACTTCCTTAATGCTAGGATGAAAGAAATGTACCTCCATACTTGGCCCTAACATGAAGAATTTGACATGTTCCCAGACTGCACAGATACTAATAGTATGATTCTGTTCTTTGGTTTAAAATTACTGGAAGTTTTTCTTCTGCAACCAGAATCAGAGGAGGGAGGTTTCCTTGCAGGCTTCTTTTACCCTTCACTGAGAGATCTTGGCTTTATTCATTCCGAGGTCCTCTCACTTGATTCCTGTTCCTTCTTACTCCAGCCACTGGAGATGTCTTTTATTTTCTTTCCTGTGAAATCATGCGCTAATGGTCTAGAATTAATCTAGATTATTTAGATTTCCTACCAGAAGCATTCTTCGTAGTGTGTCTAATGCTTTGTATTGCTCACAGGGAGCATCGGCTTATTTTGCTGCTTTGTTTTCTATCATTTCCTTTTGGGTGGAAAGAACTTTATTAGCTTTTATCGGTCCCAGAAGGTCTTGAGTGCTATGGACTTAATTATGGAGTTTTAAATTGTTCTGGTTGGCTTAGACTCACTGTAGAGAACAGGCTGGCCTTGAACTTGCAGTGATCCTCCTACTTTTGTCTTTGAATGCTGGATTTACAGACATACACCATCCTGGCCATTTTTTTTTTTTTTAACGAATTAATTTTTATTTCTTTAAAGACAGGGTCTCACTGTATTCCAGGTTGGCTGACTATGTACCTCAGGATCTTAGGCATGCAGCCTCCTTAAGTGTGCATGTCAAGTGGGTAAAGTACCCTACTTGAAGGCTAGAGGGGGGTATGTGTCCCACAATGATGTGAATACTTAATCATCATGCTTATGAACAAAAAAAGGCTCCTGCCTCAACTGCTGTTTATTTCTCATCTTATAATTACCATCATTTATGGTTTAACTAAAAAAAAAAAAGGCATGAAATTAATCCTTTTTCCTTTAATACACATTTGTACAAAGGACAAAATGAAGCCACTGACAAATTTTGTTGAGCCTTTATAGCTTTAGCTACTGTTGTTGATGATGGGGATGATTTGTACCAACAGGATATTACCCAGGTTTTAGTTATGACAGTTTCTGTATCCTTAATTTGGACTGTACTTGCTTTCATTACTTTATTTCCTGTTTGATTTCTGTTGTTAATTTGATGGATGTTTTGTGACAAATTCTTTTCTTCTAAGACTTTCTAGTTGTATTTAACCCAAGTCACATTCTTTGGAAGGCTCTTTGGCTAGGTGTCAGCTGTGCCATCCTGTTTCTAACCTATCTTCCCTTACTGCGTGAGGCAGAATTCCCTCATTGCATTCTCTTGGGCATATGGGCTGTCTTGGTGAAGCCAGTCAGATACATTGGAATCTGCAAAGAAAGAAAAAGGGCTGCAGCTTGTTTGCTCTCATGTGGTGTCACAAAAACATTCAGATATTATATTAGTTGCTTTTTGTATTGCTTTGCTCAAATACCTGACAAGAAGTAACTTCAAGGAGGAAGGCTTTGTTTTGGTTTATAATTCAAGGGAATATAGTCCACCATGTTGGACAAGGCACAGTGCCAAGAGTAGAAGGCAGTTGGTTATGTGGCACCACAGCCAGAAAATACTCTGGCTGGCCATGTCAACCTGGGAGAGAGGAGACTGAAACGAGGTGGACTAAAGTCTCATGCAATAGACAACTTTATTCAGCGCATCAGACAGTTCATATCCTGAGGGGATTCTTGAGGGTTAAGCAAGGTCATATGAACAAAGGTCACATGATTTTAAACTGTATAAAGTCAGGAGGATAAGTCCTGCTTGGAGACATAATTATGAATTCTAATGGGTAAAATGATAGGTATTCTAAAGTAAAGGCTGCTTCTGTTATTACACCTTGGAGCCAAGGGCACAAAAACATTCCAAGAACAACCCATGTTATGGAGGAACAGAAATTACAAGACTCTTGTCTTGTTTATTTGAAGATTTCTCACAAGGTCTCAGAAATCTGCTCAGACACCTTCACTTATGGACCATGTTCTGACAATAAGATCCTGGTATTTGAATGACAAAAACAACAACAACAACAAAAAACAAAAAGGGAGAGGGCAAGACTACTCCTAGATATGATGGAGGAGAAAGCTTATTGTAGATAAAAAGGAACATAGTTAGAGGTAGGGACATCTGGGATAGTCCAGAGTGGACATGACCCTGAGCCATGGAGGGGAGAGGGGAAAAGCAGCCCACCAAGACCAAGAGACTGGCCAAGAGACTAAAGTGAAGGGCCAGGTAACCAAATAGGGAAGGGGAGCTGAGGGGAGAGGGAGGGGGAGGGGAAAATGCTAGCCATACCTTGCAACAGGTATGGACTTAGGGATGCAGAGAACCTGGTGGCCAGGTGTGCTTTGATGTGTTAAACAGACACCTCAGCTGGTTCAGTTTCTTCCCAGCTGTTCTGAACTTGTAGGTTGAGCCCCCTTTGCTTGTGTTTGTGTGTCTAATGGCCTTTCACAGGGGTTGCGTAAGACCACCAGAAAAACAGGTATTTTACATTACCATTCACAATGCTAGCAAAGTTAGAGTTAAGAAAAAATAATTTCATGGTTGGGGGTCACTACAACACGAGGAACTGTATTAAAGGGTTACAGCATTAGGAAGGGTGAGAACACTGCTCTAGCTGTGAGATGGTAATCCTTTACCTATTGGTTAACCTAATCTAGAAATTGCATTTAAAGACATCCCAGAGGCCTGTCTCCTAGGTTCTTCGAGACAAGTTGACAGAGCAACAGTCAACTTCCAGGCCCTGTGAAAGCACCTGGAGATAAAGTGGGTAAGGCAGTCTCAAGGGGAGACTGATGTTCTATTGTGGGGAGACTGACAATTGAACAGACCATCAGAATATACTTTAATAAATTTTATGCGGGCAGATAGTTACAAAGGAGGTGGCATGAAAGGCTGTAAGTGATTAGAAATGGTTTCTCAGAAGAATTAAGGTGCTGGCTGTGGTTTTAAGAGCGGATGAGGTTTACTTTGAAATAGAAGAAAAGAGGAAGGGTGGTGGAGGCTGGAGACTGGAATCCTCAACAAGTAATGGAGACTGATTGCTGTCTGTCTCTTTGATTTGCCTGCTACCTTTGCAAACTGCACAGCATTCTGTCATTTAGGATACTTTACTATGCAAATAGCAGAATATAGAGGAAAAGTGGCTTAAATAATTGGAAATTGATTGACTAATATAGAGTATTCCATGGCCCAGGACTCAGGTGTTCTCCACCCTTTCTCCTTTCTAAGCCCAGGTTATTGGCACCATTTCCTCTCCTTTAGGGTAGTTGTTTCACTTGCTTATAAGCATATTATTTTCACAGGGAAGTGTTTGAAGTAGAAAAAACAATTTCTTTTCCTGCATCCTCCAGGGGCCATAACACTTGCCTCCCCAACTTTGGCCTTTCATGAACAGATTTCCCTTCTCAGTGGCGAGTGTTGTATCATACATCCTCGTGTTAACTGAGCACTGACAAGGTAACTTAGTGTTTATCTCTTGTGGTAGGATAGGAAGGTGAAACATTAGATAGGGTTAGGACTCCTCAAACAGAAAAAGTTAATAGTTGCTGTGTAGACACAGCTAATCCACAACTGATCCTGCAGTGGAGTTTCCCCCACCCCTACCACTTCTCTTTTAGGCAGGGTTTCTCTGTGTAGCCCTGTCTGTCCTTCTGTCCTGGAGTTTGCTTTCTAGACAGGCCTGCTTCTTCCTCCCCAGTGCTGGGGCTAAAGGTGTATGCCCCCACCACCCAGCTCCCACTCCACCTCTTCAACAAGGTCTTCCTTTTCATTTAAGCCCTGTGCATCACCCTATTTGGCTCCTTATCCTTTGGAAAAAAAGATGGAAGCTGATTTTGGCTTTATGCAAGTCCTACAATTCGGTAGTGGTTTAGTGTAGAAGAATGGTAATTATTTTTTAAATTCAAGTTTCAAGTGGTACTTTATTAGTTAAAAGCTTTTTAAAATATGCTTTTGAAATCTAGGTGGGAAAAGGATACAGAACCATTATGTATCAAAGTGTATTATTAGTAGTACACACTAGGATACACACATAGACTTTGTGTAAAAAACCTTCGGTTTATTAGGGAGGTTATGGTAATCAGACTCTTTAGGGCACCATTTTACTTGAGTCAACATTAGACTATTAAAAATCACTATTAATTTCTAAGCATTTCTTCTTGCTTACTTTTTCCAGTACTAGAATATTCTTATGATGACATAGATAAGTAACTCCCCAACTACGGTTATTTGTTCCATAGTCCTGTTTAACTGTTATGTATCTTGTGTCAGAAGCACAGAGAAGTACAATAATATTTCTAAGAGTTGACTTCTTTTTGTTAAAGATTCTACCTCTTATTTTTATTTTTTTTTTTTGGGGGGGGCACAGTCTTAGGTAGCCCCTGCTGGCTTCAAACTTGTTGGATGGCCTTGAACTCCTGAGATCCTGCTGTCTCGGTGCGCCTCTCTAATGTTGGTATAATGGGCATGTGCCACCATGCCCAGTTTTATGCAGTTCTGGGGCTTTCTGTACGTAAGGCTACATTCTACATCCCCTGCTACATCCCTGCCCTGGACCCACAGATTTGATCAAATGCAGTTTTTAGATGTTTTTCAGCTGTCTGTTTTATTTGGTTACATCAAATTCATGTTTTAAGGAATATTAGAAATTGGTCATCACTAGATGGCAGTCTTTCTCCACTTTAAGTCATTTGTTCAGAAGGAAAAATAGCACAGTATTTATTTAAAATCAGTGCTGACTGCCAGTAGAAACCTGGCAGTAGATCTCTTAACTTTTCTAGAGTTTAAGAATTATTTATTTTTGCATTTTATATCTGATATGGTCTGTTGGTTATTGATGGCTTATGCTGAAGAGTCAGACTGTAAAGTCTGTTCACGTTAGCTTTGTACTGTGATAGAAGCAATTTGTAAATAAAGACACAAAAAAGTGTGTTTTCACCTGCTTCTGCTAGCCACATGGAAACTATGTATCCTTTTCACTTGCATGTACACAAAGAATTGAAACAGAACCAGGGAGTTATGTATTTCCACAAAAATGCAAAATATAGGGTACCCTAAACGCCATCAACTTTCTTTCATTTGAATGGGTGTGTTTTAGATTTGAATTCTCTCTCTATATATATTTTTGATATTGCCATATTGTCCTGGCTGGCTTGGTACTGATCACTGTACTGTGTAGCTCGGGCTCCTGCCTCAGCTTCTAGAATGCTAGGATTACAGGCCTGGGTGCTCTGTACCAACCAATTCTTATTTTAATTTTAAGACTTCTTACTTCGAGGGCTCACTGTAAACCTAGAAAGTTACGCAACATCATATTGGAAGAGAGTGTTAAAATTATAAATATTCTAAGTTTAAACTTTGTGACACTGATAAGGAAATTAAAACTACTATCTGCTGTCTTCAAAATGTTTGCTTCTTCTCATTATTTGCCTGAATTGGAAAGCATAATGCTCAGCTAGTACTTCAGGGAATTGTAATTGATTGCTGTTTCCTATTTTGTAAATGAGAAAACGCTGAAGGTCAGAGAGATTATATGAATTGGCCAAAGATGTAGCTAATTACAGTGCTAAGACCAAGGCCCCACAATAAGGCGTCTAATATCCACGTTTTCTTACTTTGATTTTTAATATATATATATATAAATATATATATAAATATATATGTATACATATTCATTACAATTTATTCATTTTGTCCCAGCTGCAGCCCCTCCCTCATCTCCCCCTAGTCCCACCCATCCTCCCACTTCTCCCTCTATGTTCTTTCCCTAGTCCCCTGTTAGGGGAGGACCGCCTCCCCTTCTCTCTGGCCCTAGCTTAT